AACCCCGTAACAATATGCGTTTTGTACTGCTGTTACACAGCACAAAACGCATAAAAATCGGTACAGTGGCCCAGCGCACACACAGACACAGACACAGACACACACACACACACACACAAACACACAGACAACCTCTCGTCATTATGCGTTTTTCGCATTGCATTGCTGCAAAAAGCGCATAAAAATGCATATTGTCCAGGACTTGTCAAAACACATTGTCGAGAACTTGTCTGTGTGTGTTTTCTGAGTATTTTCGTTTTTCTTAAGAATTATTCTGAAACAGCCTTCAGTCTGTCCTTACGTCCGCTTCTCTCTCATTTTAACTGCCTAACCGTTTTGACCCATATACAAAAGCTACATAAACTGAGTTGTTGAATTTTGTTAGAATCACTCATTTTTCAAGAATCACAAGAATCACAAATCAATCACTCATTTGTTAGAATCAGCATCCTCACTCATTTTTAAGGGGAATAGGGCTTAAATAAATGTGCTTTTCCCATAATTGTACTTTGTTTCTTTCATGTTTAGTTTTTACCAGGAAATTCTGTCCAGTGCGACCGAACTTTCGTCATTATCCGCTTGGACATATAAAATTGATAAGCTTTATCGCCATATGTTCCACTTCACCTTCCGCCTGTATCTGCATAATCTTACCTGGCACTGGCCTTGGAGGGCCGTGGCTATGTGCAGGAGTATGCGAAAGATGTAGTAATAAGTTGTGAATGACTACGCAATTAATAGGGGCAGCTGATGTCGCGCGAAAAACACGAGATAAGGCATCATCAGCCACGAATCAGGTTGATATGAATTCATTTTTCCACGAATTCTTATCCAGGTTCCGGATGTTACGCAGTATCTGCATGCAGCATCAGAGGTTGGTGGACAAATTTCGAAGTGCAAAACTGAGTGCACCTCATTTGGAACAGGCCAGTGCATATTGCGAAAGGTATTTCACATTGCTGGGTCGCATTTCTTCGTGGGATATTCCTGAAGGGCAAACAATTCCTGCCGATGTTATTCCGGAATTGCCTTCATCATCAATGCAGTCTCAGGTTTGTTGGTTTCAAATTTGAAAAAATCATTCATGATGACCTTGTTGCGAATTCGGTTTCCCCCCGGCAGTTGCCGTGGCGAAGCGGTGCTGGGACAGTGATTGAATATGATTGGTAGAGGTGCCTAAAGATAGTTGCGCTGCATTCGGTTGCACGCGTTCGAGAGCTGCACCCATCAGGTTTTTGATGGCAACTAGATCCCGCAGTCTCTGCACATAATTTTCTTTTCCGACGTTCGAAAAAGGTGTGAAGTAT